TAGTAGCACACCCTCCCCTGCACGTTGGCTGAAATGCAGCTCCTCAAAATAAAGAAAAAATGCAGCCTGAGGCATAGCATCCCTTCTCTCCAACGCCACTGTCCAAATGATAATTGAGGATTTTCATATTTCCAGTCCAGTGTGCCTTGTAAGTAAAAATGTTAACAAAAACTGACAGTTGTTTTGTTTCCATGTCCTCAGAAAACCAAGCATGAAGAGTTGTGATGACGGCATGGTACAGATAGTACCATTATTTACAGGGTGCAGACCATTACTTTTAATTATGGTATCTGAAAATTCTTTAAAAATTATATTAAGTATTATTAAACCTCTCTTTCATTGTTTTTGTTAAAATTTTTTTTTGCTGCTTTGACATAAATTGTTCTTTATTTTTCATGATGTTGAGTTTGTAAACCTTTACAGGGTACTACTTTAAAGCAGTGGTGGGAAAACTATGCCTCATGGGCTAATTGTGGCTCAAGCCTCCATTTTGAATGGCTTGCGCTCCGTTTACTAAAATTATAATAATAAAAGTAATCTAAAAAGGGAAAAGAAAATGAATGTGTAATTTAAATTTTCGATTGCAGACGTCACTACTATATGGGGTTGTTTTGCTTTTTGGTGAAATAATAAATTCCCTATGATTTGGGTAAAATGTTGCCAAACTTTCCTGCTTTCACCATTTATGGCTTCCATGCCTCTATTACCTCTTGAATCTGGCTCACAGCTACAAAAGTTTGCCCACCCCTGCTTTATAGACTTAAGTTGGTTCTTTGTTTATACACTTTTTCATAAAGAAAATTTAAAGTCCAAATATACTGATGCAGTTACAAATTAAATATTGTTAATCATATTTAATTAAGATAAAATAATATATATATTGGTGCAGATATGACAGCAAATGGTTTATATTTTAATGACCGTCATATATATTGCATACAAATTTGTAGAAACTCCTCCCATTACTCCAAACACAACCTTTCCTAAAATTCTGCATCTGACCAAATCACTCCTAGATGTTGATATATAAGATTTCTACATAGAATTTGAATTTAATCTTGAATCAACTTTTGAGAGATTTATAACAAGTTCTACTGTCAAAAGAGCTCTATGTGCAATTTCAACTATTTTATGTCGATGTATGTTTATTTTAAAAAAAAAGGCATGACATTTTTCTATAAATTAACCCTTACAGAAATTATGAATGATATTATGTCTGGTTGTCTGAACTGTAAGTTCTTCACATGTCTTCACATTATCTATGACCAGTGGTTGGATGGGATTCAAAAGATTTTATGACAGGTTTATAATCTTTCTTTCCCCACCCTCACACATTTCACTCATCTGCATCCAAAAAAAGTAACTTATAATATTGAACGTAACATAAGACATGAGCACTATTATTTTAACAAACTCAATTTTTTAAATCGTTTTATTCAAATCAAAAGAGATAAATCCCATCCCTCATTATACTCTCTGAGAGTAATTGCGATCCATTTTCTCAATGTTACCCATCTTTAATTCCTACTGTAACCAGGTTGGCTTTTTCCTTCAAAATCCTTTAGAGTAGCACTCTCCTTTAGAGAGTATATAAAATATTCCTCTGAATTACACTCAACTGTTAAAAAATTTAACTGTCTTTGCTTATCAATCTATGCATCTCTTTCAATTCTGTTGTCAAATAGACATACAGTGACTGAGATCTGTAAAGTTGATTTTTATTAGTAACAATTTTTTATATGTTTACATGCATCTCACACAATCCTATAGTTATCTATTAAATGGATGGGTTAATGCCATCAATAAATCCTGTTTACGGTACAAAATTTGTCTGGCACCTCCAGTGGGTAGTAAATGAGAGTCAATTTCTGTTTATATAATAACTTTACGAATGCTACAGCTATAATGTTTAAACGATTGTTTTATGAACAGCTATCCCTAGCTAAATAGTTGTTTTACAGTCTTGATTGTGATATCTGTTAGACCTCTGTGTTAAACCTTGCCTTAAATTATGCAAAACAAATGACTAACTTTACGAAATATTTACTTTTAAAATCGTCCAACATGCTACCCTGCAATAACTGCTGAATGTTTTAGGATTTTATTTTAAAATTTTAATTTTTTGCTGTGATTCTTATTAATGTTATAATTATAAAAAATATTTCTTTTTACTAATAAAAAAAATTTCATTGTCATCTTTGCACTTATTGCAGTGTGCATTTTAAATTGTATACTTTGAATTTAAATATATTCTGTACTGGGATTCAGCTAACTAAACAAAAAATAAGTTAACTGAAGGAGTATGAATCAATTGCAGAATAATAGATCAAGTAACAAGATAGAGAGGCATTTAAAATTATATTTAAAAAGTGTATATGTGCAATCTATACAACCACTCCTGGTGTTACACCGATCAAACACCAGAATCACAAGGGCAGAAAAAAATACCATCTTGCCTGTGGGGTAAAAAACATAGTGCTGTCTACGGCCTATTAACACAGCACAGATATTCCAGCACAATTTTTTAATGAGAGTAAAAGTAAATGATGAGAAAGTTTTTCTTGATTGTTTTAGAGAGAAATTAAAATATTACAATTACATAATATGTATATACCGGGTATTTAAAATTAGTGTGTCAAATTTTTTTTCCCCCCACAGGGCTAAAAAAATCTCGTTAATTGAAAACTGTTTGGCTGGGTTTAATTGCCTTACAAAGATATTCAGCATACTACTTTGTCATGTTTATGATACCTCAACTTTGATAGTTTACAAGTTATTCTTTTTACTCTAATTCTTAATCAGTTGTGACAGAAGTATGCAAGCCAAGGGCAATGCACTTAGCAGAGACAAACCTACATTACCTACAAGTACAATTGAAGTATTCACCCATTTCATATTTATGTAGCCGGAAAGTTTTCCAATGCATTTTTTTCTGTTACCTTCCATTTAATTAAACTACAAGAATTAATATAGGCATGTCACTCACCCCAGTTCCAAAGATTAATGGTTTACTTTTGTTTTAAGCTTGAGGATGTGATCTAAAATTTTAAAACATAACTTAGTTTTTTAGGTGAAGAGCATTTGACATTTAAACATTTCACTATATTTCTTGATTACCTGCTGCGAACAGTTACAGTACCGTAATGTAGTCTAATCTCAGTGATGTGAGGTATGTAACCCCAAGGTCTGGATGTCTTTCATTGCGTGAAAATGCTTGTATCTCGACCCAAGTTAGGGCATGCCTGTATGAAAGAAGTTCTTTGACACTTGCAATGCTTTATAAGCAGCTCTTTATGAACTTATTTATAGATCTAGTCCATTCTTGTTTTATTTGTTTTGCTAAATGTTAGTGTCATTTTTATGAATTTATTGCTGATGTTTTCAGTCCACAAAAATTACTGCACTCATAATTAATGATAATGTATTTAATTTCATCTATTACTAATACTACTCATGCTAGTAGTTATGTGGGGGATAATGAAATTTACAAGGTGCATCGCTTGTATCAGTTTTCATATACTGCAATTTTATTGTTCATCACTAATTTGTTAATACATAAGAATGCACTTGATTTTTCACTTACAATAAACATACCAATTGTTTCATTTTCCAGTTGTTTATTGCTATGTGGTTTGAAAGAAATGGCAGCATTGTATTCATGAATTCATGTCATGGCGACTCATTAAAATATTTTGATCTGCAGTACAAAAAAAATAACCATTTTGTTACCAAGTACTTCCTACCCTTTGAACCAAGTTGAATATGTCACTCTCCAACAGTATGCAATTGCTTGTGTTTTTTAAAACCTGGCCAATGCATGACCAAATTAAAAAACTAACCCACTTCAGCAGTGAACTAAGTTTAAGAAATATGTTAATCAAGGTCAACAAAGGTTTAGTGACTAACTTTATAAACACACATTGGTGAAACCAGAGCTCCACAACCAATGTGCTGCAGCACAATGGTGTGGAGCGAGATGATACCAGGTGTGCCCCGCAAAATGTTTCAAATTTTAAGATGAAACGCACATAGTAAATGTAGGCACATAAATGATAAAACCTTGATAATCCAAACGGGACATTGGTTAGCTATCACAAAGCTGTCAAAATATGCCATAGCAGAAATGTATCGAATTCAGCCAGTTAATTTGGATTGGAAAAATGCACAGTAATTAGAAAACTTTAAGCATCACATACCATTTTATTAAACTATATTGTGTTATTTAGTGTATTTTTCCATGTTTTTTTGTATTTGTGATGCTGAATTCTTGGAATGGCTTAGGATGTGCCACACATGAAAAAAGGCTGCTGAGCTCTGCCTTGAACCAATGATTGTAATTACCCCATCACTTTTAACAGACACTTGTTTTCTATAACTGTAATTATGTTAAGATGATGCTTACAGAAAGGCCTGTGGTTGATATATTAAATATATTACATTACGGTAACTTGCAAAACATTTAATGCACAAACCTGGCTTTGAGAAATATTTACTATGATTGCAACAAAACTTATTTTTTCCAACTATCCCAAGGTCAATGAAAAGCTATCCAGGTTTTCTTTAAACTTTCTTTAACAAAAAGGACTGATAAATTATTGACAAGGATAACATTATTATGAAATTATTGTGGTCTGTATTTGTCTTTAGCGCTAAACCAATATAAGTTACCATATATAAGTCAATATTGTGTTTCCTTTTCTTTTAGTACTTGAAAGTATCAGTGTAAGATTTTGAGATATAAACTTCAGACTCATAAAAATAATGAAATGTTTATGATTCACTAAAACTAAATAAAATGAGTTTGAGCTTTCTTTCCACAAGGTGTGGCATGTTCTTTAACTAGCCTTGTTAGTTATATTAACAATGTAAATATCAGAATAAGATCCAAAAAAAACACCTCTTAAAAACAAGTAAATATTGCAGCTTCTTCTGAAACCAACCCATATGATTTCACCTACTAACGTAAACAAAGAAGATATGTGGCTTTTGTAGTTTATATTAGGGTTTTGCAGGAAATATAATTAAAATGATGTGATGCACTTTATATAGCGTTCCAACTCTATAAGCACCATATTATTATTGAGGGATATGAAAAAGGGGTTAAAAAGAATTCTCTTTGTTAAATTATACATTTGAAATCCTTTAATTTCAAAGTGTGGATATGAAAATTTATGACATACATTTGAATAGTACTCTGTTCCAATGTGAAAATCTCTGGTAAAGGGGCTGGGAGAAATAATGAAGGCACTCAACTTTTAATCAACCACATGTACTTTAATACAAAATTTTGGCTTGCCTGTCAAGAGTATCTTTTATTGCAGACCAACTCTCAAGAGTGAGCCATATTGACAAACACCAACTGTTAGAGCATAAATCTACATTTGCTACAAGTCAAACTATGATTTACAATACACTGTGAAACAATAATACACTGAGATATGGCTCTGAACAAGTCTAGGCTCACAATTTGATATTCAGAGCAACGGGTAACCATTTACAACAATGGTCAGGCACCATGTCCTGTCCATCTTCATCAACAGCTTAAAATAATTTAATGGAGGCAGATTGAAAGAACATTTGCATATCATTTCTCATTTATTGTCCCCTCAGAATCATCCTAATAAAATGATGTAATAAACATATTGGCCACTTATTTGTTATAAAAATAATAATTAAGACTATCCCTTTTAAAACTGATTTAATATTCATACATCTAAATAAGAATATTCATACAATCATGAAAAAATAAGCCTCAAATTCCAATATTTAACTGAGGTCATAAGTCACTATGCAGTCCCCCAAAGTTTACATAATTCTTCAAATGTTTTTTAAAATGCCATTACAATAAAAAAAAATAAATAAAAAAGGGATATACACAAGCCATAACTCTATTCATAAACAAATGTATTCACTTTTAAGCAAAATGTTAACAAACAAGACATCACATCCAGGAAAGGACAAAAATCCCTTCCTGCAATTTGTATTCTAATTTATTTTATTAGTTTCAGTTCTGTCTGGTCTTTGTTTCTAAGTATTTTCACCCTACCCACCCACTCCCCCAAAGTGTTTCCCATGCTAGGCTGAACTGTCATCACTTCTTGTAAGTGGGTGGTTTGAAGGCCAGCTTTCTTGATTTCAGCACAGACCACTTGTGACGCTTCATGTAGTAACTTACAGCCAGCAGGAATGAAAAGATGATCACTGCCTGGAGGGAAAAAAAAATCAATATTGTTAGTATTTTATGCTGAAATTATATGCATTAATTTTTTTTTCCAAAGGGACCAAGTCACATTTCAAATTTTGAATGAATTGGACAAAAATAAATATATCTTTTAGGTTTCTAATGGTAAAATATGTACCCAATTTAAAATACAAATCAAAGAGTGCTTATCCCTTTCAGCATCTTTTGACATAGACATTAATGCTAATCAAGCCAACAGAAACCATAAGGCAACATTGAAAAACAAAATCTCTTCAAGCTCAAATTTTTTAGGGGGATAAACATGTAATAAAGATAATTCTAAAACTTGAGACACTAAGCTGGGTTAACATAACTTGCAATTGTAACTCACCCTTAAACCATATAGTTTCCTAGTGTCATGTTCGGGTTCTCCTGCCCACTTGAGGAAAGTCACTACATCTTTAGCCAACTGACTTTGGGTGGCTGGGGTTCCTGAAATAAAGAAAAATGTAACAAAACTAGATCTTCCCAAAAGATATGGCATGATACAATGATGCGCAATTGACAAATTATAATCAAACCACAGCTTATAAGAATATTCAAAACATTATTTTATCAATTCAAGTTTCTGGATGTATAATTTTGTGAGAAATGAAAAACTGGTATCAAAAGGGGTTAACTCCATGCATATAAAAGACATCTGGTGTGGAAATAATACATCAAGAAGGAATACTCACCATCATCATATTCAATAATTTCATTGTAAAGTGCCATGGCCATGCCTATTGAGCCTCCAGGGAAATATGGATTGTAATGTTGACCCTCCATCAACTTAATCCCTGCTGGAGCATCAGCGTAACCCGTTAAGAGCGAAAATATATAGTCCTGCAAAAAAATAGTACTTGGATGAGCCAATGGTTAAATTATGCAGGAGTAATTTAATAAATAAAAAAAAGATGCTCAGATGAAAACAAAAAATATAATAATTAAAGGACTGCATTCAAGCCTAGTAAATGAAATAGCAAAACATGAAGAAGGCTCTATGCCGAAACGTCCTAATCTTTTTGTCCTGTTTTCTAATTCAAGCTTCCACATACCTCGTTTTGCTATTTCAATAACAAAAAATAAGTTTTAGAGATTAGGATCTTATGCCACATTTAAATTTAAAAAATGAATGTAGTTGGTAAATTCTGCACTTACTTCTCCGCCATGTCTGGCTAGTACTATGTAGGTCAGATCAGGCGGATAGGCCCCATTATTGGCAGCTCTGGCTTGCTCTTCATTTTTGTATGGATTAGGGAAGTGATCAGATAACTTTCCTGGCCTCTCAAACATTTCTCCAGCTTCATTGGGACCATCCTCTACAAGTGCCTGATTGCAAGAAGAGTTATAAAAGTTGTAACATTTATCACTTAACTATTTTTACATTTATCTATTATTTACTTTAAACTTCCTTAACCCATTAATCATTGCAAGAGTTCTCTGACTTGAAGATGTTTTAGTATTTTTGACATTTTCTACTTAATTAAATAAACATGGAAAATGAATTCAGAGGCAGTATTTATTTTATGAATGAAATAAAATTGAAAAGAATTAAAAGTACGTCATGGATTTAGAAATTAACCTATATATATATACATATATATATATATATAAATAAATATATATATATGTTTGTATATATGTATGTATATATATGTGTGTATATATATATATGTATATATATGTATGTATATATGTATGTATATATATATATGTATATATTTATGTATATATATATATATATTTATGTATATATATATATATATATATATAAAAATATATATATTGATAGAAAGGATTTCTCACAATAACATTTAGATCAGATTGACTTTTGTCACCACTTTTGATATCCAATCACTTCCAAAAATGTATCAGTGTCAACACTTTAACGGATGCCTGATGCATCATCTCAATACTAAGTTAGTTCAACTAACTCATGACCAATAATCTAATTAGGGCAAATAAATAGAGAAAGTTTCAATCTGGTGCAAAACACTAAAAATGACAACATGCATCTTTTACAATGCCTTTGTAAAATTGGTGGTGGGGGTGCATTTTAAGGGAAGGAACACTTCCGACCCCCAAATTAACAATAGATCAAATTCAATTTTCATGTGACGGTGTCGTACTGGTTGATTTAATGTATCATACAGCCACATCTACCTTTATAACACACGCTTTAAGTTACTCTTCAGTGAGACTGACTTACCTCCTCTGCTTCTGCTTTGGCCTCTTCTTCTGACATGATAACATTAACTAGATTTCTGTAACACATGAATTTCATGCTGTGGCAGGCAGCGCAAACTTGCTTGTACACTTGATATCCTCGGCGAATACTAGTTCATTTATTAGTGAATGACAATGCACATTAGCAGTGAAGAAAAACATTTTAAATATATGATAATTACTCTTAACTACATGTATGTACATACAGCTGAGGATTCATGGGATTCAAGAGTAGAAAAGTAATTACAACACAACTTCAGTGGGATGACACTAGGGGCTATGTTCTTTTCAAACTCTTTGCTTAATACCAATGTCCATATGTCAAGAAAAAATAATGAAATCTAAAGCCTGGCAATTTAAGCACCTAGATCAGCGGTTCTCAACCTGAAGGTCGCGACCCCTTTGGCATGATCCTTTCCCAGGGGTCGCCAAAGACCATCTGAAAACACATATAATTACAGCTATGAAGTAGCATCAATACTTGTGTGGCTGGGGGTCGCCCCGACACTAGAAGCTGCATTTAAGGGTCGCGACATTAGGAAGGTTGAGAACCACTGACCTAGATGAACATTATTTAAGTCATTCAAATATATATATATTTAGTTTAAGAGAGGGGGTGGGGGTTGAAATCCAATGAAGCTGGGCAGGGATTTGAGTTAACAAATTATATTTCTGTGAATGAGATTTAGATTGGTTTAGCTGTTTGACAGAGCTTTGACTCTGGGTTTGAGATGCCAAATACAATTTAAGAACACCAAAAAAATGAAATAAATTATGTCCCAAGTTTTGGCAAACACTTATACATTAATAAGATAGAAGTGATTAAAATGCTAAATATGATTATTATTAAAACGCTATCATTTTCATAAGATGTATTCCATACATGCCAACCTGCATGACCAAATATGTAAACAAAGTCACTAAAAGTTGTACAACAGCATTAAAAACTGTACAGAAAAAAAAAGAGAAGTTGAATAAACATAACTTGTTTTGTGTGTTCATTTAGTTATCAATGTTTTGAATGCATGCAAAGTTTGTCTTCCTGATATTTTCTGGATTAATTTCAAAACCCAAAGAACAAGTGTCATTTAGATGTGATTGCAGACCTGATTACACTGGAACTCCCAATATAGTCTGAGAATATTACTTAACCATCAAAATCGTATCATACCCAATTGTAAAAAATAGTAAATAAATAAACATACAGTATAATGTATGCAATAACTATTTGCATTGCAAGTTTAAAAAAGATCACTCCTTAAGTAGATGACTGTCGTTTATATATTTATATACAAATACAGTGGTGCTCGTCATTTGTCACTTTGATAGACAAAAATGTGCTAGAGGGGGAGGGGGGGAGATTTGAGGACATCCACTGAAGTCACCAAAACAAAAGTGGGGTTTGGGGAGCTGGCTCAGCCCTCTTCCCAGAATTTTTTTTAAAATTCAAAATACAGGGATGCACATTTGCGTATACCTGAATATAGATTTACATAGTTCTATAATTAATCGTAATACTTGTGGAAAATTAGGTTCCTCTTACCTAACCGTGTTCATAAAAATCCTTTTTATTTTAGTGGTTACTAAATAGTAAAATTGTTTTATAATTTATTACTTATTTTAATTTCATTTTAAAAATCAGTCCTACATTTTTGTGAATGCTAAACGTTCAGCTGAAAAACAAAATAATTATGTTACACACAGTCTATATGTCATACAAAATGAAGCAAACAAAAGCGAATATTTACAAACTTTGTCTCTAGGGCGAATACACTAAATATTACTATTGTTGTATCTAGCGAGTTCATTGTGAAAACACAAAGCAACGATATGATTATAATTACAAAATGTGATGTTATTTTATTGCCTTAAAAAATATTTAGACACCTACTCATCTCCCATCTTTTTCCAAGTCATTATCGCCCATCGTTCCCCTCTCAGGTCATAAAATATATAATATCTAAATTAATCTAAGTATGGTCCCAAGACAATCATATTTCTCAGCCCATGCACTGCCGGGTGAAGAAAGGAACTAAAACTAACAACCGAAGACATTTAATTTTTTTAAAGCTTACAAAAAACACCACAGGAATATATTTTTACACCTGTCTCTTTAAATCACAGTTCTGACAGGTTTTGCGTACAATTGTAAAAGATATCTGCCTTTGTAACTTTATCTGATTGATTAAGCCAGCTACATGATAGGGCTGAGAAAAGAATTAGTTATTCTCAATAGAGGTAGAATCTCCCTTCCCTGCCTTAAAGTTTGGTTTGTGCAAATTTTTTACAAATATGTGCTTTAATGTCATAAGAGCCTGAAGCAAACACTTAAATGTCTTTTTTTAAATTTTGCAATATACATGCAATGATCCAAATGTTGAGGCATTTATAATTCCAGAGTTTTCTGTCAAACCACTAACTTATAACCCCCCCACCCCTGGGTGCATGTTTAATTCCAACATTTAAAAGAAAAAATAAATTAATTTCATCCACTTAATTCGAAGTTTCCAGCTAGAGTAAAATAATAAATAGAAAAGAAAGAATAGAATAATAATGTCTGCTCTAAATAAAATATAGGCCTACTTATACAACAAAGAAAATCGCACCCGCATTAACATGTTAAATTTAGTCATGCTTCAGCCTAACACAAGTAAAGATTTTCATTGTTAGAGATTTTAATTATATTTCATTATTTACTAGAAATTAAAAAACACTCGTCTGTAAAAAAAAAAAAATCTAAATCCTTGAAAAAAACCTTACTAGATCCTGTACGACCGTACACCTTTAAAATGCCAAAAAATGTACTATGTATGAGTAAAGCATACAGGTTGGGATGTATGCATAGTCTAACATGACTAAGACCTTGAAATGTGTTATGTAATGTCAAACATACCTTCCATGATCTAGAGCAGATAGGAGACCATTGTGATTCCATGGATACTTAGGAGGATGTAGAACAAGATCACTAGCAAAAGTTGGCTGGGCTAAGGCTGTTGCTACTACAGTTCCACCGCCAATAGCAATGGAACCTAAAACCCAGGCCTGATGTGTAATAGTTTTATCAAATTAGTGATGGAAATAATGTAAGCATTGGAAATTTTATTTTAACTCCTAAATGAAGGTTACCCTTATACTGACAAATAATTTACAATTTATATTGAAGCTAAAGAATAAACTCATCTGAATTTTTAAGATTTTTGTCACTTACCAATCTTTTTCCAGTTTTGCTGCTAAAAGTGACAATAGTTGCCTGCAAAAAATTTGAGTTTAAAGAAATAAAAAATTAGCTTTCATGTTTACGATACATCCATGATTGTTCACAAAACCAGACTACGTAATAATGAAACCATCTAGTACCGGTACATATTTAAAAAAATTAATAATAGCTTTCTTGAAAATTATTTCAGCTTTACCTGTGTAGCAAGTATTTTTTTTTAACAAGAGGTTTCAACTTTGCATCTTTTTGTCACTATTACTATAAAAACTAAACTTATTACCAAGCCTAAAGTTTTATTTTAAAAACGTATCCCTTACCACCATACCATGAACAATAAGTTATTGCAATAACAATATTTAAATTCAGGTGAATCAGTATATGTGTCTATCGATTGATCACATGTGCATTACGGAGAGGGGTAGGGGTTTGCTGATTTAATAATATTTATATTTATTATATTTAATGTATATTTAATAATTATCCTGAAATTCTGTCACTCTTTAATATCTCTAATAAGCCAACTATCAACGGAAAAATCTGTGAAACCCGTATTTAATTATTTTTTAATTAAAAGTCTTAAAATAAATCATCGCAATGTTTTCTATTTATTGCCTCGTTGTTTTGTGTGACGATAATTTCTTTGGACTAAACCAAACAGCTGCATTGGGGGGAAAAAGTTGGGGCAACACAATTTGGGTCCGTAAATTAGTTTGGTAGAATAGTATTGTAAAAATTTTAAATAGTAGTTCTTGTAGTGTGTAGCCCTGGGATAACTTACTAAATAAGTACTTAAAAAATGTGCACTTGGGCCTAAAAAATTACACATTAATTACCCCTTATGCACACATAGTTATAGTTCTATTATAGGTATTTAATTAAACTTTAAAGAAACATGTTTGAGTTTGATTACAAAAAGCGAAACTCAAAACAGAAGGTAGAGCTGGATCATAGAAATAGAGAAATTTTCTCAAGGGCACAACTAAAAGATGAGGTTATATATAATAAGCTTAATAAATTTAGTCCAAACTACTTTTAAACTAAACAAAACTATTAGGTTATCACACTAACGAGAATTGAATAAATATAAAACAACCTGTTGGTTAAAAAGAGCCGGTTTGGTTCGTAAAAGTGCTTGTTTAGTTGCGCGACCAACGAAGGCAGCCATTTTGTTTACTACCCTATTCCAAAAGGTCCGTCAATACAAGACCAAATTTCAGTCAAGAGAGTTACCCCGCATGCCCAGATCTTAGGTAGAATGTTATAAAATGTTTAAGACGCATGCGTGAAACAACCCAGTTTTTGCACTCTTTTAACTATGAAAATTTGTTTTAATACTTAACCAAAAATAAAAGAGTTTCAAACGTTGTCAGTGACGCTTATTGTAACCATCCAGCCAGTCTCAGGCGAAAGCAAAATGTAAAATGATTTAGAATAAAACAGTTAAGTAAAATGAACATCAAATAGAGTAACCTACTGTTTGAATCATCGTTTTTCAAAGTATGTTAATATACACAAAATGGCGAGTAGTACAATTACAAAGGGAAAAGTAAGTACATAATATATATAAATTAATAATAATTTTATTAATTAAATAATATAATTTATATATTCATTCAAATTTTAATATCTTAATAATAAATAACATGGTCAATTATTGTTGTGTACTGACTGTGAATTAGTGATGCTGTGCCTGGCCTGCCAATAGATCACTTGCCTAATTTAATTACAAAAATAAAATTTATTAAACCTTATTACTACTTAGTTATAGTTATACTTAGTCTTAGTCTTACTTAGTCTACTAAAAATACACAGCTCAATCATTGGTGACTTATTTGATAAGACTTATAATTATAACTTATGTATATAATAATAATATATTCAATCACTTCACGTAAATATAATATAACTATATTATTTTATTAGCATATGCTATATGGCACTGTCTGTCATATGCCTAAAAATTATTAATTAATGATATTGATATACTACAATATTTATATTATATGATATACTATATTATATACATTAAACTGATCTTAACTAAAGTTAAAGTAAAAAAGGGGCCATCCATAAATGACATCATCGTCTAAGAGGGATGGGGGGGAGGTCACATTTATGGGCTTAAGCAATATGATGTCACATGAAAAGTGTAAAGAATTGCACTACATGAAAAGTGGAAAGAATTGCACTTAATAAATAAACCTAAACTACATACATTTTTAACATTATTTTTTTTATACAACAATAATTATTATTTTATTATTTTATTTTTAAACATGATCACAAAGAGAATCAGTACATGTATGAGTGGTCGAAAAAAATGGCCTCTGATCAAGTTACAGGCCGAGGAGCAAATGGGTGTAGTGTGGAGATGGGAGTCACAGAATTAGGACTACCATGTGAAGGGGGATGGAACAAAAAAAGTGGTTGACCAGGATGGGGTCAAAATCCCCCCCCCCCCAACCGGGTAAATGAAAATAATTAAAAAATTTACTAATTTAATTATCAAAGTTTTATTTTTTTAATTAACTTTTTTTAAACAACGGGAAAAATAGGACTACCATGTGAAGGGGGATGGAACAAAAAAAGTGGTTGACCAGGATGGGGTCAAAACCCCCCCCCCCCCCAACCGTGTAAATGAAAATAATTAAATAATTTACTAATTTAATTATCATAGTTTTATTTCTTTAATTAACTTTTTGTAAACAACGGGAAAAAATTACAAAAACAAGTAATGCGCAAACAAAATTCACCAGAAAAACATTTACTGCTGTTAAAAACAGATTTTTTTTAAAAAGCAGCAACAACTCGCAATGTAGCAAGTAGAATTTTCTGGTCTTCCACACCTCAGGGCTGGGGAGGAACTTTTTACCCCTGGTTAAGAACCACTGTTCTAGTAAAATGTTTCTGACACAGGTGCAGTAATTTGATATCCATGGGAGGTGAATTTCTTAAGGGTTGGTAAAGGGAAGTAGTAGACACAGGGAATTGTTATAGGGGGGCGGGGGAGGTGTGCATAGATTTGTGACATTATATTTGGGGGAGGGGTCTAACTTTTTGTGACGATGGGGATAGTTTGTTATAGGGTCAAAAATTAATTTTCACCCTGCTTTCTCAGTGTGAGATATGTGCAAATAATTGTACTGTACAGATTCAAAAGATACATTTTTTAACCCTCTTGAGACAGAGCCTTTTTGGACTGTCTGTGCAAAGAAGACACAGCCCTTTTCATAAGCCCTGCACTTACTTTGCAAAAGAGTATGAAAAATAAACTAATAACTAAATATAAAACTATATAGTGAATTGAATGAACTAATACAATCTTTATGAATCAAACTGAAATCTCAACATTTATGCACATGACACATGAGTTCCTGATTTGCATAATTTATGCATGTGACTTTTTTAACACAGAATAAACATGTCTTACTTGCAGAATTATGTTAAATTTTATGTTTGTTGAAGCCTTATTAATTCTTATCAAACATTTTAATGATATTCAATGTGGAAAAACTGCATAAAATATTCCCCTGGTGCCGCTTATGCCTTTTGGCATAATTTTAAGGTCAAATATTTGTTTAAAGCATTTATAGGGGTCGCTAGGTACAAAAAAAATTGATATAAAATGACAGCACACTGTAAAATATAAATGGTGAGATGAGCAAGAAATGCAAGAAAGCAATCTGATTAGCTGGTACGAAGACCAGCCAGCCAATCTCGAGGCTTTTATTATTAGGCCCATGGTTCGGACTTTCGTCTTTCTCGCATTAACAATCTTGGGCAATGGATCGGCCCAGACATCTCAAGAGGGTTAAAAGAAGCTATTTAAATTTTGAAGCTATAGTATTTTCTTCAATCAAGTGAGGTACTCATGCTAATATAAATAGAATATTAAAAACTGTTCATTGGCATCCGTCCACTTGTATGAGACAATGATGTAGCTTTTTTTTTTATTGACATCTCTACTAATAAACTGATAATCTCAGTGAGATTACTTGTATTAAATTGAAAAATAAAATAAATACTTGCTAAATAATAATACTTTAAGAGTTTAGTGCAGTTAAGTTACATTTTAAATACACTATTTAAAAACATGCAGGTTCCAAGTTATATGGCTCATGGCAGACAGAGAGCAAGAGGTATCATAAGGTACTGACATTAGAAAATTGATGTATTCAGAATTACTGCTTTTAAAAGGCTTTAAACTTAAACTAACTGTGGGCTTGAACCACACAATAGAAATTAAAACTAAATGTAAAAGAGTGTTGATAATACTTTACCCATATTTCTCTTTTTTTGGTAGTCCAGATATTTTTCTGGGATACACATAATGGTAAGATAATAGTCTATGTTCATAGTTTGACCTGGTCTGCAATCAGAGGTATTTATTTTACTCAAGGTTTCCTCTGGCACACAAATAGTTGTCCTCTGCGGCCAAGTCTATTCCAATTGACTATTTACTTATAGAAAAGGGATGACCCTAAACAAATTTGAAACTGGTTACTCTTGTTAGAAAGGCAGATATTACCACTGTGCCATGGAGACATTAGTTTTTCCATATGAATCACTCTTTAGTTTAGAGAACATACTTAAGAAATGCAAAGTAAAAAAATTGATTTATTTTATTTCATCGTATGAGGGAGGGTAAAGCAAGAAATTTAAAATCAGAGCTATAAACTATAAGATAGGTTACATACTGAATGTATCCAATCTTTTCCCAGTGACAGAGAAATAAGGTTTAAATGTTTTTTTCAAAATACCATTCTTGATGTACTTCGAGCTAGAGCAGGATGGCAAGAGGCTCAAGGGTGAGTAATTAGTTTTAAAAAATATTTTTTAAGACACAGAATTTTGGGGTAAATGATTTAAATTTCATTCATACTCAATTCCTTCCCTGTACCAAATATATAAGTATAAGAAAAAAAGGACATATTCATATTGGATGTATCACCATTTTATAAGCTTTACTATGTGAATTTTGTTTTAATAGTGATGGTGATTGGGATTTCTACTGGTGTGATAGAGAGTGGCTCCATTCAAATTATGATACAGTTTTCTTACAAGAACATCAGAAAATTCTTCACTTCAGAAATCATTATGAGGTAGGATAAACTTTTACTCTTTAATTCTTTAATAAATCTGTCAGTGTTACAATACATTTTGCTTTTGTAATTACTATAAAATGAGCTTTATTCCCCATTTTTAATAAGCAGATAAATATTTTGTGTAAGCATTTTCAGTTTAATTTGAGTCTCTTTGATAGAAGATAAGTTTGACACTAAAATGCATCAATGATTTTTTTTGTTTCAGCTGACACGTAAAAACTTGATGGTAAAAAATTTGAAGCGCTTCCGCAAACAAATGGATAAAGAATCAAAAAAGATAGATGCTCAAGCGTGAGTAAATAGACATGCCTTTTCAAGAAGAACTTAGTTCTGTTTATATCATAAAATGACATTTATTGTCACAGTTAAGCAATAACTTACTAATCCCTTGTATATACCACTAATTTGAAACTATACAAAGTATATTTTATTGACCTTGATGTTTTGTTGAAACATACAAATAAAAGATAGTTACATTCAAACTAATTTAAGGAATTTTTACTTATATTTTATAGGTGGGACTTTTTTCCATCTACATTTGAGCTTCCAGTAAGTAAAAATTGACATTAAAAATTCGGCTACTCTATTTAAGGAAAAAAAAAAAGAGCCTATAAATTCTATAAATTCGTATACTTGGGATTCACAGATTATTTTTAATTATTATACGGTGCATGTAGTTTAAGTTCATATTTTTTTTTTCGGTTCTAATATTTTAAGATAAACAGGCAGTAATATTGGTGATAAGGCTTATAAGTAAATATTTTAATTTATTCTAATTTTTTTTTTAAAGTCAGAGTACCACTTATTTGTTGAAGAATTCAAACGCTACCCGGGTGCAATCTGGATTATGAAGCCTGCTGCAAAGTCACAAGGCAAAGGCATTTTCCTCTTTCGTAAACTAAAGGATATCACGGATTGGAAAAAGGTACCTTGATTTATTTTTAACTAACAGGACTTCCTAAACTTACATCATTGTAATCTTGCAATATTTCCACAATAAATTTAGAGTAAGCTACCCAGGAATTGGTAACATTGGTGAGAGGGGAATTCAAACTTTGAATCACTTGCCTGAAAAAAACACATCTAACAGAAAGTTTGGCCCAGTAATGAGAGATGCAATGATGTATATAGTCACTAGATGAGACTGTCGATCTAGTTTTTTAACCACCATTAGAGTACATTCAGGGTTTCCCAACCTTGGATGCTATTTTCCCAGGCAAGTGTTAGGTTCAGGGGGTGCAAGGAAAACTGATTATAAATACATATTAATTTGAAATTGCACCGATACTTTTGTGAGGGGTGCACGACTTAATCAAACACTGCATATGGGTGTAGACTATTGAAAAAGTAAGTAACCCCATCTTTAAAAGTGCTGTTTTTAAATACCATGTATTACTCTGTATAACAATCCACATAAAATCTGAGCCCCTAAATTTTTGTTTGAAAAAAAACCCATAAAATACGATCTGTTAATCTTTTTGCAAAACATTATTAAGAATACAATACCAGAGTTAACGAAAGAAATATTTATTTTAAAATAAAAACGTCAAATCCTTTTATAATTATTATATTTCAAATGATCTGTGGTCATACCATTAATAAATAACTCTGCTGTCCTGTCAAGGGCTGTTTCTTACATGACTTTCTTTATGCGCAGATTCAATGCATGATTTGGTTACAAATGCATTAGTATACATCATTTAATGAAAAATTGCTTACAAGCGCATACTTTAAGTAGCATTTTTTACCATAAATTTGATGCACATATTTACATGCAGTAATATACAATCGTTATATGTTGTCACATCCTCAACAATTTATTTTTAGGGTGAATATCAACCTTTACCAGATCCTAATATTCCAAAGGATATTCCAGAAACTTATGTAGTCCAAAGATACATTGACAACCCTTATCTCATTGGAGGCCGCAAGTTTGATATACGTATTTATGTTTTGGTAGTTTCAGTAAGTTATAAAAAATACTCAAATAGGTAATTAAAATTAATCTATCTGTAAAAGTTCACAATGTGTATTAAAAAAAATGCATTAAACCTACCATTGAATTTTACAGATTATTATTATTTTTTTTTTATTATTGACAATGCATTGAATGATCATACATCATTGAAATTTGCTTTCTTATTTCAGTATAACCCTTTAAAAGTTTGGCTTTATCGAGGTGGCTTTGCCAGGTTTTCAAACACACGTTTTTCTCTTGATTCTATTGAAGATACCTGTATCCTTGCTAACCAAATGCGTATTACTATTGTCCTCTCCATTTCAAATCAACAAAATTTATCTTGGGAATCAGAAATTCTTTTGATGGAAAGTGTTTATAACTGAATGAAATTATTTAATTGATATTTAATTTTTTCTTGTGGATTTTTCCTTAATATATGTTAGACATACACCTGACAAATGTTGCAGTGCAGAAAACATCACCAGACTATGACCCTGAAAAAGGCTGCAAGTGGTCAGCTCAACAATTGCGCAAATACTTATTAGCCAAGCATGGCTTAGAAAAGGTAGACACTTTTGCAGCTTTTTATTCATTTACAATTACAAAATAGTTTTGTTCAGATTTAAATGGACTTCTACAGATCCATAAACTTACTGATTTTTTTCAACATTATTTCTTGTTTTTGCAGGTCAAGAATATGTTCTTTGCCATTGATAATATCATCGTGAAGAGCTTACAAAGTGTCCAGAAAATCATCATCAACGACAAGCATTGCTTTGAAATGTATGGCTATGATATACTTCTAGACAACAATCTCAAACCGTAAGTTTTGTTTCTTTAAATACTTTAACCACATTGCAAGAAACACATGTTGCATTCCCCACAAAGCAGTGTGCGGGGTCATTATTAGTCTCCATGAAATAATTATTTTTAATTTTTTTTTAACTTTGATAACAAGACATTTTATTTGCCACCAGCTAGTGTTTATAATATTCTACATTTCACAGATGGTTGATAGAAATAAATGCCTCTCCATCACTAACTGCCAGTGGCCAGGAAGATTATGATCTGAAATTTGGATTACTCAATGATGTTCTAAATGTGTTGGATTTAGAAAACAGGTCAGTCCAGTCTTAATACATTTCTTACAAACACCGTCTTTCCTTACAAACTAAATTATTGATAGTCATTACTGTAGTGTGGTAAGTAAATGTGTGCTATCGACATTCACAAAATTATTTAAAAAAAGCATATTTCAATTTCCTAAGGTTGACTGGCAAAGAGAAACGAATAGGAGGCTGGGATCTGATGTGGGATGATGGTCCAGTGTTTTTAGAGGCCATGGCTCAGGATACTGGTCTCCCGTCCTGTTTGACCGTCAATTCATTTCTGGGTGAGTTAGAATACAAAACTGTATGTCAACCTGATAGTTACAGTGAATTTTAAGTAAGAAACTCCATTGGACATTCAACAAATTTATTGGAAGTTATATATTTTTAAAAGAACAAGACAATTTTCATGTAATTATGCAATAACAATTTATGTTAACTAAATTCTTATTCAATGTAAATTTTTACAGGCTGTCAAAATTCCAGGAAAGAACAGCTGAGAGAGATGTACACACTGGCAGAGACCTATAAAAGTAGTATGAACACAATTAATGCATCTTAAATACACTTTTACGAGTCTAAATTCAGGTCCAGCTATAGAATAGCCCATACTCGATGATTTAAATTGATGCAATAATTTAAATAAATCTTATGTAAATACTTGTGGGATTATATTAACAAATGTTTGGCCAAAAGAAATAAAATAAAAAATTGAACAAAACAATAATAAAGACTGGCATAATTAATACTTGATCAACAATGGGAAGGTGGCTGTCTCAATGATTGTTAATCATCTGAACTATTCAGTCAACATCTATTCATCCTAAAGATAAGTCAGATAATATTGTTGATGTCCACAGTAAGATTTTATGCCAGTCAGTTAATAATAAATGTTCCATCAATTTCCCTAAATTAAGGATAATCTTGAATTCAAAACTCATAAAATGTTTGAATATGCATTAATGTTAAAATAAATTATTTTTAAAAATGTGTCTTGTTAAAATTAAACAAATTACCTCATTATGTTCTCACGTTGGCATATTTTATCACATTTTCATTCCTTTTTTTTTTGGGGTCATATTTTGCTAGATAAGTGTGTACAAATTACGTGGATAATGAAATTATAAGGAAATGTTGTGTGCAAAAAATGCTATAATTCTATTTTTAGTTTTTAAAGCTCTAAGTAGTTCAAGTAATACTAAATTCATCAAGATTAAAAAACCATTAAAAATTTTTTTTGCTAATTTTTAGCAATTTTTCTACCATACTTAAAAAAAAAAGCTATACTATTACTATAAATTATAGTAGTATAAAATAAAAATATATTTATCATTATTCAGAAAATCTTTTTTTGCAAATATTTTTAAAATGAGAAATCACCATCTCTTACGTCACACACACCTTTCTACATGGTGGGAATAAATTATTATAAATTTATAAATACAACAACCTAATTCTTTTAGAAACGTCATTGACTGGCTCTCTTGTCCTTGTTTTTCTTGAAGAGTTGCATCCCTTGTTGGAATACTGCTTTATTGACCCCCTCTGGCACAAACATACAGGTGACACCTGATAGGATCAAAGAGAAACATAAAAAAAAAAAACCAATCTTACAAGTAACATTCTTATTTACAAAACAAGAAAAAAACTGTTTCTTTTACCAGAAGGAATCAAAATCGATTTTAAAATAAAAATATAAATGCAATTTTTTAAACGCACAGCTATTTTTAAATTAACCATGGAACATAAATGCAACTTTGTAAAAAATAATTTCAAGGAAGCATTTCGATAAGCTGTTATTAAAAGTATTAAAAAATGAAAATAATTGGTAAAAGCAAACATTATTTTTCATATTGTTTATAAAAATGGAACCAATGATATCATCAATGATGTTAGAACTTAACATACATCAAATTTAAAGAAAATAACTCTTTAAAAAATGGGAATATCCAGAACGTTTTTGTGATGTTTAGACTTTAATAGTTCGAACAAAGTTACAAAATGGCAGATCTTATTTTCAGTAAGATGAAGATGATGAGTCTGAACTTTCATCAAATTTTTCAGCCCTTCGTTTTGGTTTTCGCTTTTTTGACTTTCTTCTTTTCTTCTTAGATGGTTTTAATTTAGTTGCCTCATCAAAACTTTCAAAACCGCGCAAAAGTTCCCAAGTGTTAAGTCCATCAGGTACGATGGAACAAGTGACACCTAAGAATAATTAATGAAAGCTTGTCTGGTTAGGTTAAGCTGTTTCATTTAATTTTTAAAAAGTAAAAAAAAACCCAGAAGCATTCTATATTATTTTATAATCAAGTAAGTCAAGTTTTGCTGCAAGACAATCAAAGAGTTTATCAAATTTTAAATCAAGTCTAGAACTGTTTCAGACACTACGTAAGCTTTATGCGAGTCCAAATACTAACCATTCCAGATTGTATATACCTGAAAAATTCTGATTTGAGTCCAAATACTGACTTGCTTAGTTTCAGATAATATGCACATAATATTTCTGATGTACATAATATTTTATTTATGGTAAGCACAGCTTTCAAAAGTAGTTGACAGTATCATGAAGGGTCCTCCACTGGCAACCAGCTCTGTCAACCAAAGTGTCATGTGTTATTGTGTCACATTTAATGTTATAGCTATAGGAATGCTTAGCACAAATTAAAAGTATAACATAATTATAATATTATCATTATTAAAAGTCCAAGTTTACCTGTAATAAACTCAGGGTGATGTGTAAAATAATTAGACAACCATTTTAAGTATGAGTGCGGATACTTTAAGTCAGCTAGATATGACTGGGAAGAGATCCAAAGATACCTGATGACTGCCTATTTTCCGTTTCCATTCTGTAATTTTTCATAATTGCATTATAATAATACTTTTTAAAAGTTTATTACCTAAAGATGAGACATCAACTATATTACGATGTTCATCATCAAAGAAAAGCATATCTTCATATGCAACACCACTCTGTGAATGCAACCTGCAACACAAATGTTTTAATATTAAAGTGAATAGTCTCCCTTATACAATGCTTGCCATTTCCTCTACTTTTTCTTAAGGTGCTGTGCCTTTTTGATCATATTAAAAGACAAATACACTCTCTGAACCTTTCTAAATCAAATTTACTGCCACATTGAATTACAACTGTACAATAAACTCCCCACAAATAATTAAACATATCCAACAAAGATTTATTCCAGCTTTTTAAAATGATTTTTTAAAATAGAAAAAACAGACATGTCTTGTAAAATTAATGTTTGCTTATTTTTATTTGTAAATGCATAAGAGGGCTAGCAAATGGTTACTTAAATATGAGGTCAAATATGTCTGAAATTAAGTCAAGTATAAAATCAGAATATTATTTTATCTAAAAGTTATTGTTAACGAAGGTCTCATGCAATTAAATGTAAAGCTCTAAGACTTAAGACATTTTCTGAGGTAAATATCAAGACTCACTTTTTAAAATGGGTTATCTTGCTCCCTGGATAAATCTGCCTGTACTGAAAGAACTGATCCCAGTTAAACAGCCGGGTTAGACTCGAAGCTTCGTCCACGGCACTGGTTCTATGAGAAAGATATTGGTCTGTAAAAAGTATTATCTGAATAATTATCTCTAACCCATACCTTTCTATCCACCCATTTCCTGATTATCCATCTCACCCAACATGTACACACAGAATGTGTTATTCTTTTGATTTAAACAAATTAATTTGTGTGATATAATTGTGTGGAGCATAAAGCAGGTAATTCCAAAGATAGTTTTCAACCCTGAAACTTTGTGATTCCATGTCAACTATTAACAATGGCAGGATTGAATCTTCACTGCTAATCATGTTAAATACTTCTGACATAAACTTTATATGTAGATTTGTGCTGACAATTTTTTGTAAATCATTTTTTCCCTGTTTACCAGCCCAAATTTATCATCCCCTTTTTAGCATTTGTTTCTTTTCATTTCCTGAAATAATTTTTCACCCTAAATCAATTCTTTTTTGGGCTCCTAAAAATGATACTATACATTTTCAAATTAATTTAATTATGATAATAGATGATAAATATGAATTTGGACCCCCACTGAATAAAATATTCTGAAACATCTTTTTAAATATTCATCCAAATAAAAATATTCATAATTCCTATTTAATTATTTATTTTAAAAAATTGAAGTTTCATAAAAATGACTTACATTATTTTATTTGGAATAAAAGTAAATAAACGTTAGCACTATCTCTATCAGTTTAACACAGAATATAATAATAGATAATAAAGTGGATTAAAGTGGAAAAAAAACACAAAAATTTCTACCTGGATGCTATTGCAAGCTGGAATCCACTTCTGTGAAGATGACTCAAAATATCTGGGACATCCTCATAGTACTTGACATGCTGCTTGTGGGCATCATACACTTTTCCATCACTGAGGCAAATGAAGGTAAGTGATAAAAAAATATAACCATTAAGTTCAGGAGCATTTCAGATTCTTTTATTTGAACTGATAGATTGTATTATGTTGAATTGAAACTTTTAATTTAAAGCATATTTCTTGAGGTCTGTTTTATAGAAATTAAATAAAAAGTTAGGATATCAAAATAGAATAGAATTTTAAAAGACTCACGATGACATTCTAAATGGAGGATCAACATGAGTATCTACCCAAAACGGCCACAAGGTATAATCTGAAGTTGAGATGGAAACTGAAAAACTAAAATATACTCAGTGTACACAAAGACAGACTAAAACAAGTAATTTAATCCTTTCTGCTTGGATGTTCAATATAGAGTCAATAGAGTTAAGAATTTTTAAGACTGTTGTTTTATTAATATGTCTTGACTAACTAAAATAAGAGTTCTTCAAATTTTAATACACAGTCCTTATAAAAGTAGACAGAGATTTATCAAAGTTTTAACATTAGTATTATGATAGAAAGAAAAAAAAAAAAAAACAATGTTAGTAAAGAATGAGTCTAACTGATGCTAATGGATTACCCAAATCAAAAACAATCAACTTTGGCTCAGCCATTTCATTGATGCAAACTTGATATTTCTTTCTGCAGCTGTGGTTAAGTGCTTGATGATTGTTGGCTCTCAGCAATCTTAAACAAATTCTTTCTAACAAAATCTGTATAAAAATATTATGTCTCATTAAAAGCTGATCAACTTATAAAAGCACAAATAGGCTATGTAATTTATTTGAACTATTAAATATATTTTTTTCTTGTTAACATATGACATTACAGTATTCATTTAAAATATGAAACTATAAATTGAAGTTACCATGTGATTGAAGATAAAATAAATTCTACATATCCGATAGCCTAAATTATAATAACAATGCAAAATGGCTTGATAAATATTTTAAAACTCTACTGCTATATTTTCAATAGCTGAAGTGTTATATTAAAAATGTAAAAAGTCAGGAAAGAGCCCTACCTTATTTCCAAAATAAGATATAGACATAAGTTTTTGATTCTTTAGGTACCATAGACTATAGCCCTTTATTACTTCAAGTCTTTTGATATCATTGATGAATACAGTAAATTACTCAAATCAGACAATACTCCACCAGCATAGCCATCTCTTGAGTAACCTGTTTTATTTGTGTTAACTGATTGCAAGTGAATTAACTGACTTTGACTTGTAATTAAGCCTAAATAAAGGTACATTCTTAATGAATTGTTTGGATCTATATAATGTTACTTTCCACTTTTTATAAGGAAAGTAATAAAATAACAGTTATAAGTATGCCTATAGTTATTATAAAGGCCTTACTAGCACATATTTGCTATTCAAATTCAATATGACTTATGACAATAATATATGCTTAGGGGCATCATATGTGAAGGGGGAAATGGTGTCACCCATTTGTGATGATGTGTGATAAAAGTTTCTGTTTTTTGTTATACAAATTTGTGATGATTTGGGGGGAGAAAAAAAAAGCGGGGGGGGGGGGGATTTTTTTTCCTCCAAATAGTGTGACATGATATCATATAAATTTATGGATGATGGATGTCGCCTAGGCTAATTATATTTTATTTATTTTAATTTTAGGCTTTTAGTAGTCAGTAATCTCACTTAGTGGAGAAGACTAGTGCTAGTACTCTTCAGTATTAGTAACTTACTTTGTGGTTAGTGCATTGACTTAGTGAAGTGAATGGGTGGATTACTGCCTATCATATCTTTTTTTCTCAAGGAGATGGGCCAGGAAGGAGAGACAAGTGCTAATAGTAGGACTTTTCAAAATATTACTCAACTGGGTAGTATTATAAAATATTATTATTAGTTAGGCAAAATTAGTAAGTAAAAATGAGGTGAAGTGATGGAGTGAGTGGGCAGAGGAGTAGCGAGGGGGTGGGGGGGACAGATGTCCCCGGGCGCAAGCTAGTTAGGGGCGCCAATATGTGCTTTAATATATTTATATTATTGGTAAAAATAATGGGTTTGAGAGTTGAAAAAAAGAAAAGGGGGCGCTTTAAAATGGATCTTGTCCCCGGGCGCGAATCTTGTCCGCAGCCGCCAAACACCCTCGCTACTCCTCTACCTCTGTGAGTGGGTGCTTCCCTGCATATCCTATTGTTTAAAAAAAAAGGGGTGGGGGTCCTTCAGCATTCAATGCATTGATGATAATTATATAATGGCTAATTCAAATTGATGAGCCTACCTTATAACTTATAATATAATTAATAATTAAATAAATTGACTTCTTTAATTACTAAATGAAAATGCTTTTTAAATTTAAAAAAAAAAAAAAATTATTATAATTATATAATTATGAAATTGAAAGAAGCACATTTTTTAGTTTAGTTATTTTAGACGGTAAGTAGACAGCCAAACTAAGTAACAATCTATCTATTATCACTATTAATTTTAATTAGGGCTCATAATTAATAATTGAAATAATTGACTATTAGTAATATTAGCATAATATTAAATATTAATTAATTATTATTGAATTATACCAATATTGGCATGAACGTGGCTTACCAGGTACCACATGCTGCCATTTCATGCCTAATTCTAATTTAATTAATGGGCCAAATTCTTACTTAGTTTATACATATTAGTATAAGTCTATACTCTATAGATTATAGTCTATAATAATAATAATATTATTATTAATAAGTATATGACATGAGTATATAATAATGTCAATGTCACTTTTAATGCCTAATGAATGACAAATGACTAATGAATAATAATGATAAAGTGTAAAGCTAATTTGAACATAAGTCGTCATTGTCTTTATAATGTTTCTAGTTATATTTACAAATAAAATTGAAAGTTGTACTAACTAATTATTTTTAAGAATGTTAGAAGGACATGTTCAGCCAACGGCGAGAATTTTCGCCATGTTATTTATTAGCTTTAAAAAAACGTATAGTTTTATAGCTGATGATCCTGCTCACGTTTTTATTTGTCTGACTATTGGTACGTAAACGCTACAACATTTACACCATAAGGGAAGTAATCTTTGTTCACTTAATTATAAAGCACAAACTTAAGTTATTGGCCTTACAACAGTTAACAACAAGATGAAAAAGCTGTCCAATGTGTATCTCGTCATTATACATTGATACTGTTAATAACCGGGTGCAGTTGTTTTTTTTCACCGGGTCAGGTTTTAGAGAAAATATCCGGTGGGCCCAAGCCTTACCGAAAAAAAGCACATTTTTTTGTCCTGTCTTCTATTCAAGCTTCCACATACCTTGTTCCACTATTTACTTATAGCCGAAGCCGCAATGTAGTATCCGAGAAAAATGTGTTAGATCATACGTTGGCAAAAGCCGCAAAAAAAATAATCCAATAATTTCACGGAAAGGACGGAAAGGAAAGAACAACAAAAAATATGGAATGAATACTTTAAGGAACTATTAAACAGACCCTCCACCCACAGACGCACCAGACATACAACCAGCAAATGAAGACTTACAAGTAGAAGAAAGTGCACCAAATAAGGAAGAAATGGCTCTGGTCATCAGGCAGCTCAAATTAGGGAGAGCATCGGGACCGGATAACATCCCAGCAGAGATGATGAGAGCTGATATAGATACAATAGTCTACATGCTGCACCCTCTGTTTGAAAAGATATGGGAAGAGGAGAGAGCTCCAAAAGATTGGAAGGAATGATACCTCTTCAAGATACCAAAGAAATTGTGAAATTGTGGTTGGGATCTCAGTAATTGTGCAAATTACATAGGAAGTTCACGGCTGTATGTATATACCAGGAAAGGTCTTTAACAGAATTATTTTGAATAGAATGAGATACCATGTCGACATGCATCTGCGAGATCAACAGGCTGGCTTCCGCCGAAACAGATCATATTACAACATTAAGAATCATTGTAGAACAGTCCATCGAATGGAAATCCCCCCTTTATATACATTTTATAGACTAGGAAAAGGCCTTTGATAGCCTGGATCGAAAAATCTTGCGGAAACTTCTTCGGCACTATGGAGTACCAGGAAAACTAGCCAGGATCATTCAGAGCTCTTGAGAAGAAATGACATGCAGGGTGGTGCAGACTCACAGATGGCTTTAAAGAGGAAACTGGAGTGAGATAAGGATGTCTCTTGTCCCCCTTCCTATTCATCCTCGTCATTGACCGGATAATGAAAAAATACATAGACAAAAAGAGGAACGGGATACAGTGGACAATGTGGGAACAACAACTGAATGACCTAGAATTTGAAGACGACATTGCACTTCTGTTTCACAACCAGCAACAAATGCACGAAAAGACAAAAGACGTAGCCACCTTTTCAACACAGCTCGGACTTACTATAAAGACATAGATCAAGAAGGTAAACTCAGCCAGCCAAAAGCATATCTCTCTGACAGGAAAAGCACTGGAAGAAGTGGAGTCCTTCGCACCATCGACATAAATGGCGTATCTGAGGCGGATGTAAGGGCCAGAATTGGAAAAGCTAGATCAGCATTTGTGCTATTAAAGAAAATATGGGAGTCGAAGAAGCCGAAGCTGGAAACCAAAGTTAGAATCTTTAACACTAATGTCAAAAAAGCTCTACTATGTGTAGCAGAAATTTGGAAAACAGCAGCGAGCATTACTCAGAAAGTACAGACCTTCACAAATACATGGCTTAGAAATATATTTCACATCAAATGGGCAAATACCATCACCAACAAAGATTTTCTAGAAAAGACTACAGGCACCAGTTGATAAAGACATCATACAGGAAAGATGGAGTTGGATAGGGCATACTCTCCGAAAACCCCTCAAATAGCACCACCAGACAATCCCTAACATGGAATCCAGAGGGAAAATGAAAGAGAGGAAGGCTAAAGAACACATGGAGATGCGAGCTAGAGGCAAACACGCAACATATGGGATATACCTGGAAACAACTGGAAAGGAGGGCACAGGATCGTGATGAATGGAAAGCTCTTATGGATGGCCTGTGTCCTAGACATAGTAAAAGGCATAAGAAAAATAAGAATTTCACTTGACTTAATCACAGCAACATTCAGTTGATTTAATCTCCAGAAACTAATTCAACATTTATTAGACCACTCAAAACCGACAGTTGATTAGGCCTATATGCAAAAAAGAGTACCAAAATTGTTGGAGTAATTAAAACCCCAATTAGATAAACTTAAGCAGTAATGTATAGAGCTTACAATGGTAACAGTTTGTAAACGCTTCAGCTAACATGTATTACTAAGTAAGTTACTGGTTGGCACAGGGTCTATTTGATGTCGCGTCATAGTTTAACATCATAATTTTAAAAAAAAAAACAACAACAAAAAAACTATTCGCTGCGCCCTGTGAGGAAACCACGGCTCCTCAGGGCACCACGGCTCCTCAGAGTGCCAGGGCGCCGCGACGCACAGTTTTGGAACTCGGAGCCATTACGCGACTTCTGCAGGGCCTCTGCAAAGTTTCGGGCTTGAGCCCCCTTGCATTCAAAGTGGGAAGTTAAAATTTTTCCACATACAGCTTTGGGCCCCATTAATATCCGAGGCGTCCTGTAGCCGGGGGGGGGGGGCACGCGACGGCAATGGCCGCACTGGTAGAGAACCAGCATTTTCGAAACAAATAGGCTACATGTTATATCAAGTTTATGCACTAAGAAGACAGTGGTTCTTGGGGGCGATTTCATGGCGACCTTTTCATTCTTTTCAACTTCAAACTTTCGACAGTTTTTAACTTTTGAAAACGTGTGGTTATTTTAATGTTTAATTTTTGTGTGTGGAGTTTTCAAATAGTTGCAAGCAAATTGTATTTTATCGATTTTTTAAAACCACTCGATCAAAAACAATGTCAACTGCTATGTATAGACCTAACCCTTTAGTTTCGGATTGAAAGTCCTAGAGATTGAGTCTCATCCATTGTAATCAGGGGCGTGACTTATGGTTAGTGAGGCCCCGGGCAGATTAAAGTCCCCTTCAACGAAAAAACACTGCAGTTGGACGAAAATGCCGTTCCTATGTAATATATAAATATAAAGAGCCGTCCTCGCAAGACCGCCCCCTTTCTACGGCACTTATAGAATGCTAATTAGCCTATCTCATGAAAATATAATGCGATGAATTGGCTACTATTTTTAAGGGGAAAAAACTACAACGATTTTTCAATTGAAATGTACTTTGCATCATAATAAATTCAACATTTAGTTTGAATCTTAACGTAATAGTGTGCCTACATAATGATACACGCTTGGCAAATAAGAACTGATATAGACACATTTAACAATACATGTATATGGGTGGTGGGTGGCCTAGTGGTCTAAACTGAGCAAATCTCAAGTTGGTGCTCTTGAGCTCAATTGCCACCAAAGCCCAGTCAAGCCAAAACATAACCGGTACCCCGGGTGGATGGGACACGTCAGCTTTGGATGGCAGCTCATCTAAGAATTCAAACCCGGAGATGGAGTCCCACATAAGGATAACATTGGTAACAATGAAACATTCCGACAACTCCTGCGACGCAGCTGGTGCCAAGCTGGTATCATCCACATGATGTTCCCTTGGGTGTATCCAGCGACGTGGAGCGAGGCGATTTGCTGTTGGGAACCAGCTTATAATCCTAGAAGAATATATAAATATAAATAAATTTATAAACTTTTTTTGCAGACTCCAACAAGTTTTTCAAAATTTGAGAACCCCTGGATGACACCACCCCGGGGGGGGGGGGTGGTATTAGACCGACCCCTTCTCACTCTAACAATTCTCCCGTGATCGTAAATTTTCTAGCAATGAAATGTGACTGCTGAATTCAACTGAACGAGTTCCCTCGCTTATGTCACGAGACGGCAATGGATTTCTGCCTACTTTTGTGGAGATAGACAAGCCGTGCTCTTAACTGAAACCAATACTAAATACCCGGATATCAGTGTAGTGTTACGTGTCATAAATTCGGCTGTTGTTGTTTTTAAAGGACTTCTACTACTTAAAAAGAAATATATATTTAGCAAATTAATTTAAAAAAAAAACCAACTAACAGATTTGTATTTAAAAAAAAAAAAAAATTACTTTACTGCGTTTCTTTTCAATATGTCCTACGGTGTCGCCCCATTGGTAAAAGGGAAGCCATGATGGAGCTCAGCACTTTATCATGTAGGATATTTTTTTTTTTGTATTAACAACTGTCTTCTGCTTCTATTTCTAGCCCTGTTCATTACTAAGCCAGTGCAACGTTAAGTCCAAAGTTTGGATTCTTTATACATACACCATTTTGTCAACTGTGTTCAATGCAAGTACTATTTCAATAGCAAATTCATAACAACCCTAGTTACTTGTCATGCGCACTCTGCCCGATGAGCATTAGACATTTTTGTTACTGCGTGCTCTCCTTATCGTCCAATGCTTTCTATGTATGTCCGATTTTCTTATTGGCGAGAGAGTGATATTTATTTGTTTATTTAGAATAAAAACAAAAAATGTGTTTCAACCGGCGATGTCCGACATTTCCAATAGGCTCTATGATACAGGCGAGTGGAGGTGCGAACTACTGCCCGCTCGTTCACATACATCGCCGGATTATCAATAGTAATAGTCCATAGGGAAAGGTGGGAAAGGTGTCATTGGGCTACCGAGGCTCAAGGCGCCCCGTGCCCGGGTTTCAAGAAGCTTCCACCTGTGTCGTCAACTTATTCTGACATGTATTGGGTTTAAACAGCCATGGGTCCCTTGTCTTGTCTATATATGATCATGGCTCAGTGGCGTAGCGAGACACTGTGCCAGCCGGGACGGACTTTCAATTTTCCGCCCCCTTCCTACGCCACTGTTAGGGCTCCAAAAAATCCTAACTCCGTTCCCGCGCACTGTGGGTTGCCCTAAAAAAATTTCTGGCTACTACTAATGAAATAGTTCTGGGGAAGAATACAACTTCAAGGGGAAGAATACAAC